ACAAGTTTCAAAATCAATGTTCTAAAGCAGCAGTTCTTAATACTGTTCCTCACGTCCCCCTGCTCTGCACATGCTCTGCATCTTTCTCTCGCTGTTTCTCTGATTCAGCTCAGCTCCAAAAATAACTGTTCCAATTATACACTTATTTTCACATAGCTATGAGAAGCATTAAACATGGACATGCGTGCAGTTGCCGTACTGTATTAAAGCTTTAATCAGGATAAAAACGTATTTTAAAAGCTAACATAAGCAGTAGCATTTACAAATAACAGCGTATCTAAAAGTATGAGACAACAAGAAGCAAAAAACATAGGCCTAACATTAAAAGCCGTGCTTGTACAGGTTCTGCACGATCCTCTTCAATAATATCTTCTGCTTCTCAATCGGGCTCAAACTGATAAGCGATATTAACAAAGCATTGTTTACAATACAACCGGAGCACATGCCGCTGAGGTGAGGGGCGGGACGGTTAAACACGCACTAGAGGCAGTTTAGCCAATCACAACACACTGGGCTAGCTAACCAATCAGAGCCTATTGCCTATTTCTGAGGGAGGGGCTTCATAAAAGAAGGAAATTATCAGTATGTTTCCCAGAGAAGGGACAGAGCGGTCTGGAATAAAGGTAAATTATGTGAAAAATAATGCGTTTTTAAAAAAACGAAACATTAACACGTTATACTGCACCCCATAAAAACAATCAAGTCTAGAAAAAAAACACTGACCCACCCCTTTAAGCCATGAAAGGCCTTGACTGCTTGACAGCATCTGTAATATCTGATTGACCACAGATTGGGTGCCACTTTCTTGATGGGAAATCATTAACAGGACAATCAATGATAGAAAAAGCAATAGACAAATGCAACAATCAATCTTTTTGCAATCACATCAATTATGTGGTAACACTTTTACAATGTTATGTTTCAATGAGTTTATGTATTACTGTAGATATCATAATTTAATAATAATTTTTTTTTTACATGATTTAATCATTTATGTTAATTTATACATATAATATTGTCCATGTTTAATTCATATTCATTTGAAATACATAAACTAATAGTGATTTATAAAACTTGAAATGCTAAAATGTGTTGGTATATGTAGAAATTGAAATGAATATTATTAAATAATAAATACTGTAAATAACTGCTGTTCATGATACTATTTATTTTAAATTCTATAATTATTAATTAGTGCAATATTCATTATTCACAATATGGTTTTATGTAGCAGCAGTTTTAAGTGCATCAAGTTCACATTTGTGTCTGGATCGCATTACTTCGCAAATATAGAGGCCTAACGTACAGCTACAAAAAACTGCTTAGGGAAAAATCTTTTTTTAAACATAAATATAGAAAATCTATACCTCCCTATCTGGGACCCCAAAGTTCAGAGTTGATCTAGCAGTTCACTAGAATAAACTCAAAGATCCTATGTATAGGAGTTACCTGTTTCGAGTGTAGAGGGGGAACAAGCAGTCGAGTTGACTGTCATGGCAATTTGTGAAAACGAGGAGAAAAAGTGCAACCTCAACTTAGCAACAAAAAAAAAAAAAAATCCCGGCTCTATAGAATTTCTCTATAGCTACAATGATTTCTGCTGAGGGTAAGTATGTGTCATTCTTATAGGGAAACCCGTCAGCAATTAAACCTGATGAATGTAATTGAGAGAGTTATCACATTCCACTGACAGTTAGTGAATGAGACAAAAAGTCCAACCGCTCTCATTCTGTCTGCGATCAAAGTAATTTCCTCAATCAGACAACCGTGCAATAACCATCCCGGCACTTTCCATTGCTCACACGCGCTGCTTCTTCCTCTTTCTATGAGCTTTGACGTTTCCTCTTGTTGATTTTCAAAGGACGGCCCCTTTTCCGCTTTGATAAAGTTCAACAATGCTACCTCATACATCAGGGAGATAAACACCACTGCAATGCCGAATAAGTAAACAACAACAGAGAATATACAGCTCAGCAAAACATGCAACAGAACAAACAGATGCGAGACCTTACACGCAGCTCCTGCTTGGCAGTAGTAAAGTCACGGTTGCTATGGTGCTGGGCAGAACGGGCCGGTGTGCGAGTTAGGAGATGATTAGTTTGGGATACAGGGGGTAGAAGTGTTATATTAACAGACACACGCACGCGCGCGCACAATCATGTGGGCCTGAACGAGCACACTACAAAAACAGACAAAAGCAAAAATACCCAGGTATTGACAAAGACACACGTACACCTGGGGCTACCAGTTGATAACCAGACTCTGTGGCTTGTGATGTAAACCAGCGTCCGCTTCTCAGCAGACAGACATGCAACGACAGCGATCGGTGGCCTGATGCCCATCGCTCCGAGCGAACAGGCCCGGCTCAGCAATCCCAATCAGGATTTAGGCATCTGAGTATTCGAGGACTCCACGCCTCAGTGAAATAGAGCCTATCCTCTTTCCCATCCCTCAATCTGTTATTTTTAATTACTCCTCCTCCTTCAGGGCATGACTTCTCATTAAGACTCCCCCTCATTTCCCTTCCTTTTTCAGATCACAATAAAGACACAATCAATTCATTTCATTGAGAAAAACAAAGCTATTGCCAACATTGGAGACCCTGTGATAATCTGTGGAATTAAAGGTTAGACTTCATTCTTAATGTTCAACATGTACTAAACTAGTCAAATCCAAATCCATTACATGCCAAAAATGGCTCTTTCCAACCATAAGCTTGATATTCTGTTGTTTACCACTAAATAACGCTAATCAAGGACTGATGGGAAACTGGAACTACTTACAGCAATCTTGAGGGGCTCTTTTGCTTTAAACCCCTGAATACTGAAAGTTGCATTTAATTATTCTATTAAACAATTGGCGGAGTAATCCTCTTAAAATGAAACCAAACATCTGATAGCGTCTGCTTATATAAATATTAATTTGCATGATTAAAGTTTAGTGAAAGAATGGATTATGTGATTTGGTGGAAAATGGATTAACAGCATGTATTTTTGTAATGTGTGTTGAGTGAGATGAGGTGACTCTTCACTTTATGTCAGAAAACTAACTAAAGAACAATTATGGAGGCATATTAATGAGAGAAGTCTTTGATTCTGTCATAAATTTTGTCTGTTCATCCATGCATTCAGCTATTTGTCCATCCATCCATCCATTTGTTCATCCATCCATTTGTCTATCCGTCTGTCCATCCATCCATTTGTCTATCCGTCTGTCCGTCCATCCATCCGTCCGTCCATCCATCCATCCATCCATCCATCCATCCATCCATCCGTCCATCCATCCATCCATCCATCCGTCCATCCATCCGTCCATTCGTCCATCCATCTGTCCATCCGTCCATCAATCCATCCATCCATCCGTCCATCCATCCATC